TTCTAAAGTAGTAACTCAGTTTTTGTACTTGATGTTCTTTTCTGTTATGATATTGTACTTGGTATATGAGTCGATCATGTGGGATCGACGATTTATTTATTTTATTTTATTATTTATAAGTGCGATTTTAGCACACCAATAAAAGTTATTTTTTTTTAAAAAAACTAATTTATTGATGTAAAAAGATAAAAAATAAAAAATAAAAAATAAAAAATAAAAAATAAAAAATAAAAAATAAAAAGAAAGAAAAAAGGAAAAGGAAAAATAAAGACTCCGTTTATATGTACTTTTTAGTGGTTCGTGTTACGACGAAGGGATGACTGGAGCCAGATGAATTTTTTGTATACGCGGGTTCTTGACAACAGGACTCTTAGACGGATACTCGTCTGCTGCAGCTAAATGGAGCGGATGAAGTAATTTTTATTTACCCAATGTGAGTAATTATTGGCCTATAAACGAATACTCGTCTGCTACAGGTAAATGGAACGGATAAATACGCTTAGAGTTTTGTGCAACGTTTATATTTTACTGAAAATGAACGAAACGTTACCCCTGGACGGATATTTACCCTTTTTGAGTAAATGAAGTAATTTGTTTTTGTACCATTGTTTATGTACCCAAAATGAATGGATCCTCGCTCACGGGTGGCTATGCGCCCAGATTTAAACGGATGTTCACCCCCAGACGGCTATTAGCCCATTCGTCCGCTTTTACCTGGTTTAAGTAAGTTTTTTTAGACTAAGTGTATCTTATGTTTGATTGAAATTATTGGCTCTTTGACATCGGATATTACAATCACAATACTAGAAGGTACTCAGACGTACATCGCCTCACGTAATTAGCGCCAAAAAAAATTGTCGTGCCTGGAATTTAGAGAATTGAACTTATATGCACCAGCAAGAAAGGGTTATTCATGATATGCAAAGAGGACGAACATATAGTGAATGACAAAAGTGAGCGTTTGATACCCAATGGTCATTAAAAAGAGAAACTAAAAGCCTATTTGAGGAGGTTTAAGATAATGTTGTGGAATAGATCATGGTAGTGGAAGAGGTGGAATAAAGGTACGTAAATGTAAATTACAAGTGCAGATAAATGTATTCGAAATTCTTCATTCGAGCGTATCCTTTTTTTAAACAAAGCTTATCGTTTATTTCAATAGCCTTAATGTATCTTCGGATTGTATTGCAGGCATATGTAGCTTCTTTTTTATTTTATTTTGTTATGATTGTATGTGTAAAGCAAATACAACAATGTGGCCATAGTTCTCTGCAATTCCAAAACCGTCAACAATATCCTCATCACACAGATATGTGAGAGCAACGTAGTGTATAGCCCAATTAAATTCATGTGGAGAAATTAATGTTGAATCTCGTTTGATAGTGAATCGCAGTGGACATGTCTTCAATTCAAATTGATGGGATATGTGTGGTGACCTAGCAAGGCTATAACATATTATAGCTAACAAAGGTTTATCCATGCTGATACCATTTGTGATATAAGCTTAACAATAAATGTCATAGTAAGAACTTTAAGGATATTACATCACAAGTCTGATTTAGTACGTCTGAGAAATACTTAAAATTTAGTTTAAAGCAAAGAGAGTTAAGAAGACTTAACATTTATTAGAAGAAGACTAAATTAGTGCCTATGTAATAATCATATACATTTTTGGTTAATCGATGATAACTTCAAGATAGCACTAGAGATATGAACACAGCAGACAGTCTTTTATAAAAATACTCGTATATTTCATTTATTAATAAAGGACAATCTTATAAACAGTCTCAAACTACTTCTATAGTCTTTTTATAATTTTACTTTACCTTAAAACACAACAATATGATCTATATATTCTTGTTGGACTAAATATTGGCTTATTTCGTCAGAACTTTGTGAGAATACAAGTAGACACATTTTATTGAAACGCCGATTACGTAACACTGTCTGTGCCACGACTTCAGCACCTTCTTGAGATATTTTCTGTCAATCCTTTGGCAATCCCGATAAATCTATGGATATGATGAATGTATATTCAAAACCAGGTACTTCAACAACAGGGGAATCCTTCAGTTACACCTATCCTTTCAACTGTCAATCATTGATAGTTTGCTTTTACCCTATTATTTTATAATAACTTTAGGAAAACCTGAGCGAAAAAAACCAAAATCTGGTTTGGTGTAGCTGGTCTCTGTAACGTAAAGCTTAAGGTATTGTTGTAAGACGGTATGTGTTTACAAACGCCTTGCTTCTTTGATATTTCCGTGTATTACGTTGGATATAATTCCTGGTGTAGGGTGAAATGGTGTCAGTTTTTCTTTTTCCAATCCACAACAACGTTGAACCTGCCTGTGGGAAGACCGCCTTCTGATCATTCTTCGACCTACATGAATGCATTGCATTCAGAACACATAGTCGTCATTCTTCCCAAAGAATGTCTACTGGGCAGTATTTCAGTGTGCTTTGCTTGATTTATAGTCTGGTGGGCACGATTACTATTCTTGTGGCACAAAAGGCTAGTTCTTCTTAAATGCCCAAGTTTTTGACATGTTGAACAGCGGACAATTCTTTCTTGGACTTGCTCAAGAGTTGAAATGAACTCAGGTTCGTCTCCCTCCATGTCCTATTTGGAATCAACATCAGTGAGAATGCTTGAAAAACATTTGCTTTTTGCTGTACCACAGGAATTGAGGTTGGGTTATTTAGTGCATTGTCATCGTTATTCAATGGAGATGGCACCTAAAACAAAGTCCGTATTTTCAAATAAAAAAAAAAAAAAAAAAAAAAAAAAAAAAAAAAAAAAAAAAGCAGACATGACTAAATTCGTATTTAGGTTTACTTGATTTAAAGGAACATCTAGGTGGGATCTACGACTATGACCTTCTTAACCACAGGACCCACAATTTACACTATTATTTGACATTTTTTTAAAAAAAAATAAAGGGACAACGTTAATCCTATGAGCCGTATTCTTGGGTGGAAGTATTCATCCCGCACCCCCAATTTTTTTATCACTCCTTAAAAATTGCGCTGTTTAAAAAAACCAAGCGTACTGTTTTTTATTAGCGCTTTCAAGCTTAATACTGTTAGCCGTATTCTTGGGGGAGCGGGAGGCCCGTCTATATGGGGGAAAATTGAGCCAAAATGGTTTTCAGGTGTGACTGGGTTTTTCTAGAGCTAAATAATAACTGGGGTATTTGTTGACTAAATTTTTCTCTCGAACTTTCTTTCATTTATAACAATTACTCATTCTAAATTCTTCTTCATTCTACGGGATCACTCCTACGCTTATTGATTAATGTGCTGTTGCCATCGGGGAATGCGTAATCTGGTAAGACTTGTATGGGCTGAAGGATGCGCTGACGAACGGTTATACTTTGAAAACTCTCTCCAAGTCGACTTAGGTCCGTTGAGAATTAATAGACTGTAGTACTTAGTAATGCGAAGCTGGTCACAAGCACTTTAAGCAAATAATGCCTTTTTTGCCATCCTACGTATTAGCTACTTATTTTTCTGAATAGTTCAAACGCTCTCTTCAAGTAGATTTAGGTCCGTTGAGAGTTTATAGGCTTTTTTTTTTGTTCGGTAGTCCTATGTTTGCTATCAGTATTTTAAGCGACTAACGCGTTTCGTTTCTCTCCTTCATATTGATTGCTTCACCAGGTGCTCCCGCTTTTGTTAAGTACTCTGCATAATATATTTATCATTACAAAACGAATAACTTTTTGGTTCTAATTGTTAGGTACAAGATAATATTGAAATCCTGAGAACGGCCTTATACCCTGTAAAAGAAACCAAAGCGATATATCTTGTCTTCCCCAAAACGTCTTGTAGCGCTTGGAACAAACATTACATAGGTAAATACCTCCCTCTTTAAAAAACGTATACAACATTGAACTAAATTATACGTCAGTATCCCATATTAGCTTCAAAGGATCTTGTCAAAGGCATAGTTTAGGTTAATTTTGGTCTGGCTTTTCGCTCTCTCAAATTATTGACCTTCTCAATGTCCATTAAATTTTGCCAATCTTGGATTATCAACTCCTGATTACTTAATCTTACCAATAAAACAAACCACCTCGTCCAATTATATATCTTAAACATATATTAGTTCTTCCCATTCAAATTAACGCGTTTAAATAAAGTGCACTTGTTTATGACAAAAACATTATGACAAAATAACCACCTTTCCGTTATTCTTAATAAAGAGTTATATTTTAAACAGAATGTCGCCTATCGTTCTGTTTTATAGTGTCTGAATAACTGCTCATGTGTTCATTTCTAATACAATAGGCGAGACGTAAAAAAGTGTTGGGGACATGAACTCCGATGGTTGCGGTTTGAGAACTATCCTGAAAGATGCTTCATATTGTTATTGGAACGAAGCCAGCCCATCGTCTTTGTAACACATGTTTCCTGTTCTCTTTCTTTTGTCGCACATGTAAATGTTGAACATGACTATTGCATCTTGTCCAGCATCTCTGCTCCAAATAGTTTACCTCCGTTATGCTTCCTACTTGTGAAACACATTTAACATCCATTGTTTTTGTATCCTTGTCCTTAAAGTCCGTTATTTAACATACGTAATACCAGCTCATGTCATCGTCTCTATCTATTCCGGATGCCAGAAATATGTCTCAAAATCAATATGACTAAGATTCTGTCTCTGTTAATTTGATCTCGGAATAATCGTCTACTAGTCCTGTCAACTGTTATAAATAAAGGCCTGTTTATTTATGTGTAATTCTGTGATTAAGATATTATACGTTTTCATTTCTTCTTGAATAGATCTTTTTCGGCTTTCATTTAATTTTAAACATATAATAAAACTAATATATACATAATTTCGGTCATCCTTGTTCTCACCTAAATAACCATTCTGTTCTTCTCTTGCCCCGCTCCTGACACTGTCTTCACTTTAATAATCATTTTGTTCTGCTCTTGCCCCGGTCCTGACACTGTCCTCACTTTAATAATCATTTTGTTCTGCTCTTCCCCGGCCCCGCTCCTGGCAATCACTGTTTTTTTTAAAAACATTTCCATGGAAGAACACCTAAACAAAGAGGCTCTGGCCTGGTGAAATTAATATCTAAATTGCCACAAGATTCTGGAAATTCGGTTGCAACAAACCCTTCAGTAATCTGACGTCTTACCCGGTCATTGAATCGTCCACCGAACATAATCCTCTCATGTAAGAACTTTTCCATTTTTTTTGAAAACAAATTGAAAGGATGGGGATAACGGTGATGATGATTT